TAGTGCTGTGTTTAAGGGTTGATAACCCCCATCCTTCTGATCCCCCTCTTGTAGGAAACTGCAGCATCTCCTTCACCATCCATCCCCACCAAGGACCAGAGTAGTGACTCCTGAGAATCTGCCTTGATGCCCTTCTGAGCTGCCAGCTTTGTATTTCTCTGCCAGGAACAAAARTGTCCCTTCTGGAGGAATTTTTCCCTTCCATAAGCACATAACAAAACTCAGGATGTGGTGTGAAATCCTGGAACTCAGCCCTGGTTTAGAGCTGAGCCAGATCCTAAAGGAGCAGCTCAAAAAGGATCACAGGCTGTGAGTGTCACCAGGGTCTAGAGGGTTTTAGGGAGGGCTTTAGAGGGGCATCCTTTGGAAGTGAATGTGGCTGGGAATGTGGTGAGGAATGAGCACAGCAGAAATCCTACCCATGCCAAAGGGGGATATTTAAAGTAGCTTTGAGCATTCAAGGCTCAGCACGGGATAAGGAGCTTTTAAATCTGAAATCAACCTTCCCTATCCAAAATTGCATTTATTTTCCTAGAGACTGCCTGGAAATTCATGTTAAATTTCCTCCTGTTGGCTGCTCTGTACCTTTTCTTTGACATTGTGCAGCCTTTAGCAGCCAAAGTGCTGCCTTTCAGGGGGCAAAGATTGTCCTGCTCATCTATGCTGTCCTCACAACTGCTTGGAGGTGGCTGGAGGATTAATCCTTCCCCGTCCCTGCATCCTGGCAGGATCCTGTGTYGGATTCAACCGGCCAAGTCACAGAAATATTCTGAAAATGTGCAAACTCTGGTTCTTTGCAGAGGCATTTTCCTCAGCAAATGGATGCTGTAAGAACTGACTGGCTGGTGCTGGGAGCAGCTGCAGGATTTCTGGAACCTCRTGAGTTTGAAGAATATTTCCTCTTGGTGCCAGAAGAAAATATTTTTCCCTTGATCTTACAAAAGGCTGAACTCCTTCTGCTGAAGTTAAAAGGAGACAATCATTAGGCACAAAACCAAGGATGTTTAAAGTTCAGCAGAGGCACCAGACTTTGATACGTGCCTTGAAATATTTGCATCTGTCCCTCCTGCACATCCACCCCAAACCTGCAGGGAAACACATCCTAGAGCTCTGCCACGGACCAACAACCAGGCAGCAAATAAAAYGCTCCCACAGGATAGATTTTCATCAGGATTGAAGGTAATCACAGCTCTCAGAGCCTTGTGATTCTGCAGTGTGCTGTCAGCAGAGTTGGGAGGAGAAGCACTTGGCAAGGAGCTGCCAGGACTGCTCTGCCTGTACCTCAACCCTGCAGCTCCTCTGCTGTGCCGGAGCTCATTGCTTGGATCAGACTCTAAATCTGATYTTTCACTTCCCTGCTGTTGGGTGCAGCAAGATTATTTCTGCTTCTYCGAGGAGAAGAGCCAGCTGCCAGCAACCTCGCAGCTTAGTCTGTCTCAGTAAAGAGGAGTCTGGCATTTGGCTTGTGCTTGCTTGTTATTTTGACAGCACATCCCTTCCTTTTGCACTGCTTGGATCAGTCTCTACTGAAGGGCTGGGCCAAAAAAAGTGGAAAATGGCCAATTTGCAGGAAAAAAAAATGAACCTGCTGCTCTCAGCCAACTGTTTTGTTCACCTTGCATCAAGAAGGGCAAAAGATTCACTGCCAGGACACAGCTGGTTTTTGGCCACGGTGCTAGGCAGCCCTGGGCGTCCTTCTCATCCCAAATACCCTGTGCTGCTGCAGTRTGAGGAAAACAAGTCCTGAGCACGGAACAAAACACTCATCCTTCCCCCAAAATGCTGTGAGTCAGGTACCTGCACCAGGATGGCCTCAGTGTGGAGATCAGCTCCACCCTCAAGCTTGGGAGCTGAGGATCTAACTTAGGACCAGGTGCAGGTGGTAAAGGGAGTRGAAAAAATGAAGGGTGAGTTGGGAAGTGGGGGGAGAGTTCAGGAGGCTGCCTGAAAGCTCAAAGCTCCATCTGACCCTTTTTATCCCACTCTATTCTCCCAGGTGGGAACACAAAGCATCCCTCAAACCCCAAGCTGTGGCTGCCCCRTCCCTGGTGTCCAAGGCCAGGCTGGCCGGGGCTTCGAGCAGTCTGGGATAGTGGGACCGGGGCTGGAATGAGACTATCCCTAAAGTCCCTTCCACCCCAGCCCATTCTGTGATTCCTAGGTGCTCGCTGCCTTTTGGGGGCTCAGCGTTCCCACACCCCCGTGGCACAGTGCCAGACCCCGTGRGTTTTCCCCTAACCGCGGTGCCCCCCAAACATGAACCCTCGGGGGTTTCGCTCGCAGCCGGGAGCACCCCAAAGAGAAAAGCTCCCCACGTTCGGGTGCAGCTTCCATTCCTTGTCCTCCTCCTCCCGCCGCTCTCCTCCTCCCGCGGCGCCCGGGGCGGAGCCGCCCGCGCAGCGCCCGCCCCGCTCCSGAGCCGAGCCGTGCCGGGCKGCGGGGACGGGGCCGCGGCCGTGCCTCCTCCGTCCCTGCGCCCTTCCCGCTGCCGGCGGGGCCGGGCTCCCCCTTCCCGGGGCTYGGGAACCTGGCGGATCTCCCGGCGGCAGCAGGTAAAGGGTTGGGCTGGGCGGGCTGGGGGCTCCTGGCGTCCGCCGAGGGCTGCGGGGCACCCCGGCTGCGGGGGCGGTGCTGAGCGGCCGGGAGGGTGACAGATACACCGGGCTGAGCCCCGCGGTGTTCAAACCGCGCTGCTTTGCCCCAAAAGGTGTTCCTTTCCCGTCCCCGAAAGGTTCCTTTGCCCTGGGTGCCCCCGCCCTGGGTGCTCACCTGGCCGCGAGCATTCCAAGTAAAGTTGGGATGTGCCGGGGTGCTCCCGCGTGGTGGGGAATGTGGATGGGCACCCACCCGGTGCGAGGTGCCGGGGTACCCCTCCTGGTCTCTGGGAGACCCCCAAACTGTGGATCTGCACAACGCTCTTCCCCTTCAGGCCCTGCTCGTTTTACAGGGAACGCTTCATTTTGATATAAAAGGATGGCATCTGCAGTGTCCCGCGGCTCCAGGGCTGCACACCGGTGTTGTCCGGAGCTGTAAAATCCTGAGRCAGCAGAATCCCAAAAGGGATTTATTTATTGTAGCTGGTCCAACTGGAGGAGCACTCTGTGCCCATCCAGCGCCCTGAGGATGCTCAGCGATGTCCTGGGTGGCTCTTGACAGCAAAGCCCCTGTTTAACACCCCAAATTTCGAGCGAGCAYGGAACAGAGAGGGTGAAAAAACGTGAATGTAAGAGGGTGTTACTTTCACTTGATACTCGGCAAAGAAACTGATTAAAAAAAAAAAAAAAGTAATTCAGGAAAAAGAAGGGGGGGGGGGGGGGGGGGGGAATCGTCTCTTTGCTGTTTTGTTGAAACCCTGACCCACGTCTTGTCTGTTCCCTGCCCGGAAAACCGGGCACTGAGGAGTTGCAGTCGACATGTGAGCCTTGCTCTGGAAAAGGGCTGCTGGAGCAATYCCTGGTGTGGAAGCTGTGAAATTTCACCCCTGGCAAGATGGAAATGGGGATTCTCCAGCCAGGAAAAACCTGGCTGTGTCGAACTTGCCGTGCTTTGGGACTTCAGGGGTGGGTCCTTACAGCCACTCTTGTTACGTGTAATCATGTTGGCTTAAGGGTTATTTTGGGGCTGGAAAGGGATTAGGGATAGATGATCGGAATAGGCATGGCCATGCTGCATTTGAAATTTAAAATAAATAAATAAATRTGGTTCTCTTTGCTGGCTCTTTGTCCCGGTGGGAAGGAGCCCACACAGATTTTTCCCCGTTAGAAAGTTCTGCTGTGCACAGAGAACGTTAAGTCCAACTGCGCCGCTCGGATGCTGGAGTCTCCTCGGGATGCTCCAGCTGCCAGGAAATTTTGATTGCCGCTGATTAGCGAGTAAGAGTTAGAGCGGTTCTGCTTCCTAAAGAGCGTTTTTGGGGTTTGGATCGCACAGCCATGCAGGAGAACAGCCTTCTCCCTTCCTTCCCCCTTCTAAATCGCCAGCGTGCACTTGGCAGGTGTGGCTGGGGAAAAGCTGAGGTAAATGGATTTCCTGCCTTGCATTTTGTCTGGCATGTCGATGTTCCTCATCAGATTGCTGTGGAAAATGGTCCATTAATTCATTACCCAGCCTTTATCCACCTGAGCAGTGATGCATCCTGAATCCTTAAAGCCTGTTACTTTAACATATTCTCCTCTGCCGAGCTCTGAAGCGTCTTCATGCTGATATCCCAGCAAAGTGGAGCTGCAGAATATTTCTCTGTGATTTAGGAGGTGCTTCTTCAGAGGCAAATACAAGCTCTGCTTTGATGGCAGAGTTAATTTTAGAGTGGGTGTCTCTGTCAGGCTGTACTTTTTCATTAAAAGAGCATGTTCTGCTTGTTACACTTTTCCCTGCGATGAATTCAGCAAAGCACGACYGGTATTTGCCTCGGAAGGAAAATGAATCCTGGTCGGATCAATTGATTTGGTGTCAGGTTGGAGAGTCAGAAATTGCTGGCTTGGAATTAATGGTGAAAGGTTTGTTTTTAGCAAGGCAACAAATCACTTTATAAACCAGGAAGGTTATAAGGAGACACCGAACCAGCTGGGAGGGTACAATCCTTTGTTGTACTTCATCCATTAACTGTGTACCCGGGTGTATTTGAACTCAAGTAACCGCCTTAAAAATCACCATGCCAAAAGCAGTATATTTAGGTGTTTTTACTGGTGTTTTAAATGTTTTTAAGGTGTGGGTTGGAGTAACTCCCAGGTGCTGTTGTAGTGGAGGTCAGGTGGCTCCTTCACCCAGTTTTTTGTTGGAGGCGCTTTGATGCTCACAGGTGGTGGAAGTTAGGTCTGGGTGCCCTTTAACCAGACACACCTGGGGGRAATATTGTCCTTTAACTCGCTCTGGGAGCCTTCTCCAGGGTGGAGATAGAARGGAATGGTTGCACCTTTGAAATGCTGGGCGGTGCAGCCCGGGAAGGTGTGGCAGTCCCTGGTGGTGAGRCTGGACACGGGTGGGCACTCGGGGCTCCTCCCGAGAGCAGCTTCCGTCAAACAGGGGAGCAMTGTGCTTTCCCTGGAGTCTGCCCGGCTGCTTTTAAACTCCTTTTTCTCGAGACGGTGCACCCGTAGAGGTTGTGCCTCCTGTCCCTGAGATGCTCCGCACCTTCACCCTGACATTCATGGAATGGTTTGGGTTGGAAGGGACCTTAAAGCTCRTCCAGTCCCACCCCTTGAGATGAAGGGATGGGATCCACCTGGCAGCCACTCTGCTTCATTAGGCTGCAGCAGCTGCTAATTAAGCTCCAAAGAGCTCCAACCGGGCTATTTCAGCGCTGTTGTGAAACGCAGCCGGTGCTGCTGGTGCGAGGAGGCTGCGGCTGCTGCGGGCGCTGCCGGTGCCAGCCGGAGCTGCTGCGGGGTGAGTGATGGCTCAGTTTCTTCGTTCRTTGTGGGATGTTTGCTTGGGGCTCCCCAAAATCCTCGTCCTGGGCGGGCTGTGAGGCTGCTCGGGAGAGGGCACTGTCACACCGATGAGATCGTTCCTTGTCCGCGCTGAGGAGCGCACGGAGCTGACCCCGGCCACCCTCGGCTCCGGGAGGGCTCGCAGGGATCTGCACTGGGGTGGGTTTGGGGCACGGGCTCCTCATCCCCCTCCCTTCCGTCCCAAACCCAATATTCCCCCTCCGGCTCTGCTCCCGGTGCTTAACAGCCCTTCTCAGGAGCTTTCTGAGCATGGTGATCGGGAAAAAAAGGGATTTAAGAGACTGTTTACAGCAGTTGCTTTTGCCCGCCAGCCCCTCTCTAAACAGTGATTAGATACAGCTACCTTAATGTATGTATTGATTTTGAAAAAAAAAAAAAAAAACCAAAAACAAAAAAACCCACCAAAAACCAAAACAAAACTGCACATTGGTGTTTGGCTTTGCTGCTTTTTCCTTTTTAGCAACCCACTGTGTTCTCCTTACTTCCTCCAAAAGTACCCACAGATACTGGCAGGACAGCTGCCTGAATATTTGGTGCAATTGCCTGTCATTGCTCAACAGCCTGACAAACAACAAAAAAAATAGTGCTTTATTTTTTATATGCAATTAAATATTTGTACAAGATTTCTACCAAGGAGTGGTTTCAAGGTACAGAGTGTTCCCCTGAAGGGTGTTCAAACAAGGACCTTTTGGGGTGGCAACTGGGAAGCTTTTTGTGCTTGTGCCTCGATTCCATGTTTTCACATACAGAATCCATTTCTGCTTGAGCTCTGTCTGTTTTTGTTCTCCTGGYCTTTGGGTAGGATCAGTCCTGATGACAACAAATATTTCTTTCTGTGATTTTTTGTGTGTGTGTGTGTGTGGCTCTTGATCTGGCTTTGTTTGTTTACTTATTTTTTCTCTGCTGGATGAAAGGTGGATTGAGGATAGGAAAAGGGAAAGTTGCCCCTTTGCTGGGTGCTGCACAAATCTGGGCACAAGCTCTTCTCCAGGCTCCCCCATCTGTGCTGGTGGTTAATCTGCTCCTTGGAAAGAGCCTGTGCTGGTTTTAATGTAATTCCTTAGTCATGACAAACCTGAATCCTCCTGCCCTCTCTGCACCGCGTCCTCCGTGCTGGAGCCACACTTTCCATGAGGAGCTGGGGCTCCAGGCTGCTGGATCCCGGAGGACTCRGAGCTGATAGGCTGTAAGTTTATTCTCTTCTTGCCTGGCAGTGCTCAGAAGGATCTGTTTCACTTTCAGAGTTACCACGTGGCGCTGTGCCAAAGTAGCTTTTTATCTCCCACTTTCCCCCTTAGATGCCAGTTTGCCTTTAATTTCTATTTATTTATTTATTTATTTTAAAGCCTGCTTCTCTTAAAATGCTGCTGTGACTTGTAAACCCTCTCCATAAATGCCTGGCCCCTGTGTTTTGCTTCCCTTTCCTCCTCGCTGAGGTGAAATGAAACTTGTCCCTCCCCCAGCCCGAGGTGAAATGCACAGAGCAGAAATAYTCTGTTTTTAGCCGTGCTGAGTTTCAGGCTCACGTTTGCCCAGGGAAAGCAGCTTGCATCTGACTGAAATAGTCCAAGGTGAAACCCAGAGTTTCCTCCAATAGGTATTTTTGAGTGTAGCCTTAAAAAAGATGTAATGGACTGGTTGTACCCTTCACCGGCCACGTGTTCTCCTGAGCCACTCTACGAGATTATATTTGGGCCACTTAGCTTGTATTGATGAATCTCTGGAGCTGACAGTCACTTAATCATAAATCAAGTCTAAAATCAAGTCAGCATTCTGCGGAATTGCGGCAAAACAAACAGAATGCATTAAATTTTCTGACTTGGAGCTGGCCCYAGCCCGTGGAGGGCAGCTGGGATATGGCTCCTGAAGGTGACAGGGGATGCTCGGGGTGTTCCATGAGATTCTTGGGAAGCAGGGCTAATCCTGAGCAGGGCACTTAAGAGCTTGGAGAGGATTTGAGGCTCGAGTCTGGCCTTGCTGTCTTGTGAAATTGTCCCGGTCCTTGCCAGGAGGGAGGGACCTGGCGTGGCCCTCGGGAGGTGTCCCTGTGTGTGACCCCATCACAACCCCGTGTGCTGCCTGCACAGCTCTGGCCTGAGTGAAACCTTGGAGAGAGGGGATAAATGGGGATAAACACCCCAGGTCATGTCTCAGCTCCTCATCCTGTGCCAAGGGGCACGATGACCTGGGGGTTTCCCAGGTTATGGCTTAAACCCAGCCCTGGGATGGATGGAGAGGGCTTAGGTTTGTTTACAGGGATTTACCACAGTGCGGAGGTTACTCTGTCATGTTTGGGTGGATTTTGGGGGAGGTTGTTTTCTGGATTTGCTTTTATTTTTTTGCCAAGAGGCAATTAATGCTTTCCTTGGGATTAAAATATTTCCTGCATGTCTCAGCTGTTGGTGTAGGAAAGAGTCACCCAACCCTTGACCTTTCTCAGAGGGGGGGAAAAAAAAGCTTTTTTGGAGAAGGTGGGAAGTGAATGTTCAAATCCAGGGTGTTTCTCTCTTCCCAAATACTCTGAGCAGCATAGGCTGGTGGAAGGTGTCCCTGGAAAAATGGAARAAGATGATTTTTAAGGCCCCTTCCAATCCAAACCTTTCTGTGATGACTCTGTAATTCTTGCATGAAGCAGCCCCATAAAGAAATTCCTCAAGGCTGTCACGTAGGTGATGTTTGTAGGCAGCTGCCTGATCCAGCAGCGATTGTTTGCAGGTATTGTGGGAATTGGGGTATTAATCTGCCTACTAATTATTCGGGAATCTTGTCAGTGAGACTTCACACTGCCAGTCAATCCTACTGCACTTTGGAACCCAGCAAAGAGGCAGCTCCYGTGTCTTGAGCTGGGTGTCCAGGCATGATTTGCTCTGTTTCTCCATCTCTAAGATTAGTTGACCTTAGAGATTTGCAGAGTAATAGTGCCTGGACAGGCCTTGAAATCTGTGGGTTTGGGATATTTGGGAGCCCTGGAATCATCAAGCCAAGAGGTGAGGCCAGACCATTTCAAACATCTATTTTTAGATGTGTTCCTGTTCACATGCAAATTATGTTTCTCATTGAGGATTGCTCAGGATTTGCAATCCTCATTTTCCAGCTCTTAAGATACCAAAAATCCTGCCAAAAATACAGATGTTGCTGTCTGCCTTCTCCCTGTGCCCTGCAGCTGCGGTCTGTGGGCTCCCACRCCCCTTGCCATGCTGCATTTGACGCTTTGTGAGCACAGAGTGGTGGCAGACTCTTCTTTTCGGGGTGTTTCTCCTCCGTGCCCGGGCTGTGGCATTAGCTGGTGTGTGACAGCCTGCAGGATCATCTGCGAGCTGGAGCAGGATCTGCTTTGGGAATGAAGGAGCTCAGCTCCTCTTTAGCTGTGAGTTAATCACCCAGCACAGAGTGCTTGCAGCCCTCGTTCCAAGCCTGATTTAAAGTGCAAGGTTGACAGCTCGGCTGGAGATCCTTTCCCTTATCACAACTGTTTCCTAACCCGTCTCCTGTGCGTAGGGATGTGTTTGTTTTGGTGGTTTTTGATTTGGATCTCCGGGAGGGCTGCACATTAGCGGAACGCGCTGTAAGACAGCTGTAGATGTTGAAATGTTAATGTGGTGGGAAGAGGCTGCTCCGGTGTGTGTGATGCTGGAAGGGACAAACCTCTGCGCATCCCAAGGTCACTCGGCTCGTTCCCGAAACACWAACGCTGCCAGGGCTCCCGGGACGGTTCTGCTTTGCCAGGAGAAATAAAGCTGCTTGTGGGATTAGAGGGATGGAGCTGCTGTCCCTGGAGCAGGGCAGGAGCAGTGTGGGAGGGGATTGTCCTTCGCTGCGTTTGGTCCGAGGTACCAGGGGTTAACGTGGAGCTCAGACCTCGCCCTGTGCTTTGCTGACCCTCGAGAGCTGCACAGAATCTTCCTGCAGTGGTTCTGTAGAGGGGATCTGTGCCTGAATGATGCTGGAGACCTGTCCCAGTGTCCCTTTGGATGGTCTTTCTGGTGAGAGGGGTGAGGAGAAAGGTTTCCTCAGCAGCCAGATTGGGTTTGAGCTGAGAGCCAAGGCTCCTGCTGGGCTGCAATCCCTGCCATGTCAAACACCCCGTGTGACAGGGGGAGTTGTAACTCACGGGGTTTTATTGTGGAGCTGTGATCTGGTRTCCAGGCTTGTAGAGCTGCCCTGCAATGAGCAGTTAAAAATCCAGYTCTAACAGCAGAATAARTTCAAATTTGGAGTTYTCTATAGTTCTAAAAGGGYCCGCTCATTGTTAAACCCCTTCTGTCGAGAGAGTCCTTAAATCCGAATTCCTGGGGTAATTGGTGCCTGAGTGTTATACTGAGCACTTTGGACCTGAGAGAAAATCACTTTGCTCTCTTGGCTTCTTTCAAAGCTCAAGAGAAATAAAGGCTTTTCCCTGATTTCCCAAACTTTGCAGCTCTCTGCGGTGTTCCCTGGAAGGGCAGATCTGAAGGACTGGCTTGAAGGATCTGCTCCTTTCCTGGAGCAGTTTGGGGCTGCGTGTGGGGGGAACACGGGGTGAGGATCAGGGAGCCCTCGAGGTCATGAGCTGGGACAATGGGGTCAAGGGAGTCAAACCCCAAAGTGTCTGCTGACAGTTCTGCACCTTCCCAGGCATCACGTGCTGTCCTTATCTCTGCTGATATTTGCAGTGCTGATAACAGAGGGTCTGTAACAAGTGTGCTCTGCCACAGATAAAACTTACAGTGCGTAAGAGCTGTTCCAGCTCTGGCTTATCAGCACTATTAGACCTGAATATCAGCAGGGCTTTGGGGATGGGGCTGCTTTGGGTCCCTGAGCACAGAACATCCAACAAGGAATTGTGCTGGGAGTGCTGCTGCTCTGTAAGTCCCTCTCCAATGTGCTTTAAAAAAAAAATGTTGAAAGGAAGCAGATGATTTTGGGATCGAGGTCTGTGAACTGCCTGAGTGTCTG